GGACTAATCTTATGGGGCCCTGCAAGGCTTTCAGAGTTCAAAACAAGAGGGCTGATCAACACCCAAGAAAGAGGACTCCTGAGTACAAAACATTTTAAAATGCATGCCTTGATTTAATGATCGGTTAGTGGATATCTTTATATATCATCACCAGACTGATAGCTTGTGTATATATTAGGGAAGAGTAATATTAAAGAGAAGACATCTCACTATTTTAAGACGAGAACAATATACTTCTTTGAATCTAATTTAAAATAAAAATGAAATAACACACCTCAGGTCAAATTATCAGTGTACGATCATCTACAATACCCAGGAATGAAGGAAACTGTTTTCCATTCTGGAAAAAAAAAAATCTCAGGAGACATATGACCTTGAATTGTTTGACAATCACTGCATGCACACACGTGTCTGTACTTGTAAGCATGCCTGTACACATACTTTTAAGCCATGAGCCCAGAATTAATCCTCCTGAGCACTGTCTGCACAGCATGGTAGAAAAATGTCCCACAGCCCTCGCCTAGTCTAAGAAGTTTAGAAAACAAACAAACAAAAGATGAGTGAAATAAATGGCCATTTTCTTGACTCTACTTCCCTTTCCAGCTCTTCTCTTTCCTTTCCTTTCCTTGAAATTATTATCCATATTCCCTCAATATATCCTCTCAATTGTTCCTAAACCCACTCCCCATCTTATCCAGATCACCACGACCTGGCTGCCAAGGCAATGGTCGCTGGTCAGAATGCATCTTTTCTGTCATAGCAACACCCACAGTGTTAATCAGTCCATTCTCAAAACTCTTCACTTTCTGCATCTCTTATAAGCCCCAAACCTAACTAACTCCTGTGACTTAGTGTGGGCCACTAACATAGCAGGGGGAACCTGAGACAGGGTGAACAACAAAAAATTGCCTGCAGTGAATGAAAATGAATGTATAAAAAGCCTTGGGTTCACACGGTCAACTTAAAAAGATCTCATTAGTCACCTTTTGGAGACTGCTAAGTCACCATGTCATAATATGTTAATTGATAATAGGAAAGAAATCCAGAATTGAACCTGCAATGTTCCTTTACTGACTCATTTCAGGGTAATCAAAGTTGATAAGGGAATGTTCTTTACAAAAGAATCACAGGTAATAAGTGCAGGAAGTAACAGATAATTAATCCTTAATGAAAGAAAAGATAAGCAATGATCAGTGGCTGCTAAGACATTCAGGCAAAAGGTTGGAGAACTTTATATTGGATGGATGAGCCTGACAAAAGTCGAAACCACTGATCCACTCTGACAGTGGAAGAGACTGAAGAGCCAACACGAAGTACACACACCAATCTATAGTGAAACATTGCCCCCCCCAAAAAATCTTGACTGACTCTAAGTTCTAGATTTAATGACCAGTTTACATGCAACACAGAAGGTAAAGGATCATGTTAAATGACCTCAGATACAGTAAGCTGGGCTCAAATTGTGGAAAACTATAGGACAAAGGAGCCAGTATCTTCAACAAATGAGTTATGAGGTAGGAAAACAGTGTGGGGGTTAGGAGGGTGCCACTGATTAAAAGAAATTTAAAAGACATCAAACTAATGCAATGTGTGGACTTTTGAGGCCATGGGATAACACAACATAGTGGGTCTTAGATGGTATTGAGGAATCATTAGTACTTGGTGAATACGATGATGACACTGTGGTCATGTGAAGTGATGTATCTGTTAAGATATATGTAAGAATTTACAGGTGATGTGACATAAACAGCAGAATACTGAATTGAAGTTGAGTGATGGATACATGGAAATTCATTTGCTTTCTCTTCTACTGTGATATATATGAGATTTTTCATAATTTTTTTAAAATAGGAGCTACTGACAAGAACTAGGATCCCAGGGAACATCCTTATCTCAGGGCTCCACATCCACCTGCAGACACCCCGTTAGTGATGAAGTGCTCCTTGCCTTACAGAAAGCCCCTTTGAGGGTAAACTATTTGTGGAAGGTCAAGTGTTTGCTCCATTTTCTAGTGAACAATGGTGCTCATATACTTAAACTTTGAGAAAGATTCATCCATCATATTAACCTAGTCTGTCACAAGAAACAGTCTCACAAACTGGCCCTTAGTAAAGGCCAGAGGTCCTTACTAAGTCCTTTACTCCATCTCATCTGCTCTGGGAAGGCCCTTACATAAAGAAATGCCTATTATATGCCAAGTACAGTGCTAAACAAGACTGGTTCTGGGCTGGGGATTTAGCTCAGTGGCACTGCGTCTGCCTTGCAAGCATAAGGTCCTGAGTTCAATCCCCAGTACCAAAAAAAAGACTGGTTCTTACCCATAGGAAGCTTGTAAGTTAGTGGACCGAATCTAAGTCATTCAGCCCTTTGAAATCCTTCCTGAATAGGACAAAGAATAGCAAATAATGACAATATATCCATGCATGCTCTGCTAGTATTTTATATGTATGATCACATTTAATCCCCACAACAGGCCTACAAAGGACATAGTAGTATCACCCTTTCACATGTAGGTGTGAGTGTGTAATTTTAAATAAGGCATAAAGCAGTCAAGTGACTTGCTCAAGGTTATCTGCCTCCTAGGTAGTATAGCTGAGATTGAAACCTGGGGAGTCTGGCTTAAGGACTCTCTAATCTATACCATTCAGCCACCACACTATAAATTCCAAGCCACTCTTGCTGGAGTGCATTCAATTTGAGTACCAAAGAGATCTGGACTGGCTTGGCAGGCAAGGTCAATAGGACTTTCTTGGCCAGCAGACCAGAAAATGCTATTCAGCACTTAGCACGGGAGTGACAGAGCTTTAAGGAATTACACTGCAGGCAAACAGAGGCCATGCCCTGGCCCATCGCAGTGGTTCACAGATGGTGACAGTGAGTCAGCAGCAGGTGGCAGCAGAGTTGGACTCCTCAGGACAGGTGGCCCTACCTCTCTGACAATGTCAGGCACACAGCACGGTGCTGGCTAGACAGAGGCAGAGGGCAGCACCTCCTTACGCTCCCTTCCATCCTGTGATGTGCCGAGGACATTCGCCCTGCCCCTCCACTCCTGGCACAGAGGGCTTTGCTGGGCTTTCTCTGCACCTTAGGTCTCTCCCCTGCCAGCTGCCTTTACTAGTTGGCAGAAGAGCCCCTGACAGCTCCACAGCCCTGAATCACAGCATGCTGTATCCTAGGCCTCTCCAGTGCCCAGCTCTGAAGCCCAGCCCCAACTGGAATGCTTTGAGACCAATCGGTAAGTCAGGGTTCCTTGTGGCAGCTCAGAGTGTCTCACAGGCCCTCACCTGTGAAATGCAGATGATTATTTCCTGGAATAGACTGTGATATGCCTATCAGGTCAACAGCCCCTCTCTTCCTCTTACTGAATTCAAATCTGGGATCACATACAGTCATTCTACATGATGTTTTAGTCAAGGATAGACTATATAGACAACAGCAGTCTCAACAGCAATATGTATCGCCTGGAGACACCACAGACATCTTAGTTTGTGAAGTACAGTCTATGAATACTCACACAACAGAATCACCTACACACACATCTCAGAACTTATCCCAGTCATTAAGCAGCACTTGACAGTAGCTGACCAAAACCATCTTTGTTTAAAACCTGACACAACTCAAAATAGGGAAGAGGCTACAGTGGTGACGCCAGGCCCATTCAGGTCCCATTAATCGATGATGTGTTTAAACACAGAAGCTCCTGCAGCAAGAGGTAAGAAAGGGCAGCCTGTCTCCTCTCATCAGCATACAAACAATGAGCTCTAGTACTGGTCTGTCCTCCCTCGCAGGCTAGCTCCATCCTCTAGTGTTCTCCAAGCTCACAGCTTTGGGCCAAGACTGTCACAAAAAGAATGCCCTCACTCAGGCCATGGTCTTATCTAAACAAAGAGAAGAAACAGTCTCTAGCAGTTTCTCCAGAGAAACCTGGGGATGAGGCGCCACCATTCTTCCTATCCACCCTAGGGACTGCCTCTCAACTCCAGACTTAGTAAGGAGCTAAAATGTTAATGACTTTCTTTCGGTCATTCAGCAAATGTGCACTGCATACCTGCTGGTGCCAGGAACAACCCCTGAAGAGGAGGGAAATAAAAAGCAGAAGCAAGATTTGGAAATGGCTCTACGCCCCTTAATCAATCCTATGCACAGTTCCAAAGCCAGCCTGCCCAGCCATTGAAGGCCGATTCAACATGAAACACAACAGGCACCAGAACCTTTCTCCCAAACAAGAAGAGGCAGTGGTGAGGCAGGCAGCCAAGACACAGAAAGGATTTCGTTAGAGAAGAGTCAGGATACGTACTTGGGATATTCAGTACCAAGAAAGAAAATATGTTTGATATTTAACTCCCTACACCTAATATGTTATGCTAGTCTACCTAATAATTTCCCATTTCTAAACTCAACTCTGATGGTTCAAATAAGGCAGACATAAACTAAGACATTAAAAATTGAGACTTTTGAAAGTAAAAGAATATCTAAATTTTAAGTTCATTGAACATAAGCTATATGGACTGCTGTCAAATTTAAAGACAGTATAGGATTCACACAAAAATCCACAATTTCCTATGATCAAATATATGTGTGTGTGTGCATATATATATATAAATAAATAAATAAATAAAAGAGCACACAAGCACAAGAGAGTCAAAAAACATACACATCAGGAAAAGTAAAATGTGTATAGATACCTTAACACTAAATTTATCAAGACATCATGAGATTAATGCACGTTATCGTTGGCCTCTACAATTATAAGAGGTGCTCAAAGCGGTGGCCATTAGCTTTCCGACTGAAGTGTGTGTACATTTTTTTGGTGTACTCTCTATGTATACATAACTTTTTTCCCTAATGGCAAAATAAAATCTGTATTGACCAATTCAAGGCACCTCATGAGTCAAATTGTTATCAATCGAAAAAAACCCATACAGTAAAACATATGTTGATCAAGGAGGTCTTTACAGAAAGCTTATCCTTTGAGTCTGTTAGCTAGCTTTTATTTTATCCTCCAGCTGGTCACTTAGTTCACAGCTTTCAAAAAACTAAAACAACTCAGGTGGAGGTAAATCCACCTCATCACAAATGATATAAAATACCTCTTACTCTCTTGAGTGGGTCTCATGTCTTCTTTATGCCTCTGCCCGCTCCCTACCACCACTTCTCAAAGCAAATGTGTTCTCTGGGAACATGGTTGTTTTCTAGTTGCTTGGAGAAAAAGTCCGTCATTGGAGGTGGACCACAAATATAGAATAAAGTCTCATTTGAAATATGATCTTTTATCTGCTCCTCCGTTATTCTTCCTTCTACCAAAAAATAGAAAATCCCAAATTAAGCCAGAGATGTTTGTATCCTGAAATGAAGAGGCAGTAGGCACAATTTGACAACAGTGTTTATTTGTAGGAAATCAAGCCCAGAGTGTCTCAGGGCTTCTTAAGCTTCCAGCAAGCAAAGTGGTAAGCTAACCGTAATGTACTCTGGAGAGCAAACCAGCTAGCTTACTGGTGTTTGATGGAGAGGCAAAAGTGCCTTCAGCAAAACAAATACGCAAAGTATTCTATAAATAAAGTTTTATAAAACCCTTCAAAATGGGAAACCCAGAGTAACTTAAATGACTATTACTAGCAAATGCAATCGATTCACCCAAGGTTGGAATATAAATTTTTTGTAAGCACAATATAGCAGTGACGCAAAGGCCTGCTTAAAAATGTGAAAAATTAATATGGGCAGTAGAAAGTCTGTATATAATAAGTAAATCCAGCTAAGTATTTCCTTGTTTTTCCATGATGAATCATCTCTCAATTCCCCTAGTACTGACAATCCCAGCCAGCAACTCCCACCAATAAAGCATCTATGCTCAACCAACTGGCATGTCCACCAAATAACTGCCTGGAGATAATCAAAATATCTTTAGGGGACTCACCTGTGATGTATGGCCTAAGTTCTGCACTGATTTGTGTAGTCTGTTTTGTAACATGCAAACTGCATGCAATCTTCTCAGGAAATTCATTTACTAAATCAAGGATATTTTCCTGGAATGTCAAACATATTTGGTCACACTACAATTTTAAAAAATCAAAACAGATGTGCATTAACCACTGACGCCAAACCTCAACTCCCATTCTGCACACGTCTGCTGCTCTTACTCTCTACTTAGGGAGATATTGTTTGCAGCCTAGCAGGCCAGAGCATTCAGAGTACAGAGGGCTATTTGGCTTTAATTGAAATCTGAATATGCTAACAAGCATATTACTAACTCTCCGGGAGTTTTTTCTTTTTCCTTTTTCTCAAGCATTGGCAATTAAGCAGCAGTTTCACTGACCACAGTTGTGTCTTTTAACTGTTTCTATTCTTTTGTTCATTTCTGCAGCTGCTAAGCAGTCCTGAGTGAAAGCTTTCTCTGTTGAATGTACTTAGTTTCAACAGATGCAACTGAGGGGGGTTTCATTTACCCAGCTGGGTCCAGACTATCTGTACCTCACCTACTTCTGTGACAGACGAGCCAACTTGTGGGTCTCTTGACTCCTTCCAGGATCTGGGGGTCATAGTGACTTTCCTGTTCACCTAACCTCCAGATTCCATCCCATCAAAATCCACTTTACCTTGTCACTACACTTGGAGCCTCAACACTAGCAGTTTTATTTGTCCTGGGTAAGATGTGTTGGTTAATTCTCATTTGAACATGATAAAGCCTTGCCAAGCCTTTTGTCTAAATTTTTGCAGAGAAATCAGAACCTAGATAAGACATTTTTGTGGATAATACCATTATACAAGTTTGCCTACAGCAAACTATAAAACATACATTCGACCTCGTACCTTAAACAAGAGTTCGCTAGTATTCTTTGCACTGTAGAATAGTTTTATTGTTCCTATCTCACATCCACTTCTTTTGTTTGCCCACTCTCGGTGAAGATCTGCTGAGTACTTCAGGATGGAAAGCAGGGGGTTAATTCCGACTCCTCCTGCAATCAACACGAGGTTTCTGGGGGGATCTGTGGGCTGAGGGTCAAAGAAGAACTCTCCACCCACTCTCACAGCCACTTCAGCGTCAAGTGCACACTACGGTAGGAAAAAAAAGATCCTTTAGTCCTTTGTAGCACAGGTCTTAAACCAAATGTTCTACTTTAATAAAACCAACTTCTGTATTTGTATCAGTATTTAGGAGTATCTTTGCAGCTTGCTCTCAATTTTCTCAAGGTACTGTGAATTGACTCCACTTGTCCATTATTCAGGCCACTTGCTGCCCCACCTTTGTGATCCTTACTGCACATCTATACCAGTTCTGAGGAAAGGTGACTTGTATCAGTGATTTTACTATCTGTTGACTTCTCGGGTGATGAAATCAGTTGACAAAAGTGGTAATGAACTCCAGCAGGGGACAGCTATGGAATATGGGTGTCCTTCATCTGAGTGGCATTTTTCTCATCAAGGCTGAGAGAAACGGGATGAGCCACGTGTCATGATCTGGCTGCCGTGGCTCATCAGGGCTGAGACGGGTGAGTACTGGGCCCCCTCCCTCTCCCCAGCAGAGCACAGCCTGATCAGCTCTACAGGCTCAGACCAGCACAGTGCTTCTGTCCAACACTGTTCTCTTCTTCCTGGAGCAGCCAGAACAGGCACCTAGAGGCTTCACACTAGGAGTGAGTCCCACATAGACTCACTCAGGTAAAGCACCTGTTTGGTGAGGTCATTACACCAGAAATGTCACCAAAGTTGAACGCACTGGTTCTTGATGCAGCAATACTGCCCCTACTGGGTTATTATGGAAACTTGTGGCAACATTCTTTGGTTGTTAAAATGATTTGGGAAACCTAAGTGGTGTTTAGAAGGCAGGGGCCAGAGATGCTACATATCCCACAGAATTAGTGGTTTCCTGGAGCTGGCTCCTACTAAGCTGATGGTTAAGTCTGCAGAAATTCTGTGAGCTAGTATCTATTGGTAGTTTGAAATGAGCAACTGTGGGAGTTTTTACCACACAGAGATCAGCAATGATACAAACAAGTGTTTTCTTCATTCAAGGAGCTGGCTTGCCACCATACCATTATCTGTAATATAGAGGACTGCTTTGACAACAACTTCTGAATGGCCCATGGGTTGTTCATGTAGGTGAAGGCTGGATTGTAATGATCTCAGACTAGATTCTAACTTTTCATAAATAAATAGCCTATTTTGCTCTAAATTTTCCAGAATGTAACCCTGTATAGATTTACTATGCTTGGCTTTGTTCAGAACTTTACCAAGCATATTCACTGCTCTGGAAAACCATATCCAGCTGGTGGCATGTGTGTCCTTCTGTCACACACAACAAACCTGCATCTTCTGCATCTGTAGACCATGTATTCAGGATGATTCTATGCTTAGGAACAACTACCTAACAGCTTCAATCTATCTTCTTTAGAAACATCCCAGATTTATATATTGAAATATTCTTTGAATAAAGATCACTTTCTATTACTTTTCCTTTTTATTATACTTGAGAGAATTACAGTTTTTAAAGTATATAGTCTATTAACTATGAATTTCATTTCAGGATGGTTCTAGAAAGGGGGGATTGGATCTGACAGGGTGAACTTGTTCTGGAGAAAAACACTGATTTAGGTATGAAAAGACTGAACTTTAATCATAAAAGATTAAAAATAAGAGATCCAGCAAGTCCTCCTCACTTCTCTGAGCCTCTTGCTGCCTGAAAATGGGTAATAGCACCTGGCCACCCTGCTTCACAGGGTTGCTATGGGCCTTAAATCACACACTGGGGGAAAACTCCTCACTGGGATCATGTTTTGGATAAGAGGGCATTTTAGTCAAAGAAGAAAAAGTGTGGGCATGTCTGCTTCCTTCTATCCAATCCAACAATAAAGAAATTCACAGTAAGAGCAAAGATAGGTTTGTGCCATTACATATTCCTGGCCTAAAGCAACTAAATGAACTCCCTCCTAAGAAATAACATAGCACATACTTTTTTGAGGACCAAACCCTTGGCATTTACACATTCCAGGTGAGTAATAAGCACTTTCAGACAGTAATTTAATTTGAAGCTCTAAACTTAGACAAGTCAAACTTAGTAAAAAAAAAAAAAAAAAGAAAGTTATCTGAATTCACAAAATAGGTACTTTTTGGTTAGGAACTCTTTTTTTTTTTTGATACTGGGGATCAAACTCGGGTCCTTGTGCTTGCGCAGCAGGTGGCAAAACCACTGAGCTAAATCCCCGGCCCAAGGTTAAGAACTCTTAAAAGAATGGAAATCCTTTTTCTGGGGGAAACATGACTGGACTTAACTATTTTAAATATGTAGGGGATTGTTTCAAGAATGATACTAAGTGGGTTTTCATTTTGACAAAAGAAATTAGCAGCAAGAGAGCCTTTGGTTAGGAATAACTAAAATCTAGGGATGACTGCACTGGCTACCCAAGTGCTTTAAAATGCTCCTTCAAGCCTTGGAAATAGAATCTAAGACACAAGAGGCTCTGCCTAGGAATGACAATGGATTTCATCTTCCTACATCCTTCCTCTACCCCTCTTGCTTGCTTTATATAAATCTCCTTGTCTATAGCATAAAAGAGACCGTTAGCATAAAATCTCCTTGTTAGCATAAAAAGACTGAAATGAGAATTTTCTCCAATGGCCATCTTTGGCATATATACTTAGTAATGACAACAAAGAAAGCCCTGAGATTATTATTTTTAGAAAGTAGAATATGTTCTACCCCAAGTTGGCAAGAAAATGTGCCCCTGGGAAGGATAATACCCCAGAAAGCTGTATTCTCTTTAGCGACAAAATAATCCTCAGTAGATCTATCTTCTAATTTGCTAACATCTGGGAAGAATCAAAAGCTACTTTTGTCTTTTGCTGATCAATAAAAATTGCCAGGGTAGCATGACACAAAACTCAAAGCACTATGTAGGATATGTAGGTAAATAAAAGGACATTACCTTCAATTACATAGCAATGTATCAAATCTGAGTATAGATTTTCTGTGTGAAATAACCTTTCCACAGCAACTGGAGCTGAGCACACAATAGCTGTCTAAAAACCCTTACCCTGCCAGGGGTTTGAGCCAAAGCAATGAAATAAAGGAAGACGTTTATGGCACTTTATCCCATGTCCCAACAGAGCAGCCTGCTGCCACCCAGACACTCACGTGCCTCTATTGTCCAATCTAATAGCTTAATAAGAAAATCCTCAGGAGGAAAATAGCCACCTGAAAATGGTTCCAAGAAAAATCTGACTTCATAAAGGCTGTTTGCAACTCCCACTGGGCAGAGTAGAGCAGGCACTACAATTAGGATGTGCATTCAGGCAATGCCACTTTCCGATATTCTACAGCCTCTAAGAGTAAGTTCCTTCATTGAAATGCCAATGAGGCATGAAACCAAGCAGGGAGCCGTGGACCAGGACCAGGTCAGGTCACGTGGCAGGCTAAGAACAACTGCAGGATGGGGTGGGGGTGTGTGTGTGCACGCGCACACTTCTGGCACCAGGAACTAGCGTACCTATGCTCACTTTGAATCTGACAAGGGCATGTGGATATCTTGTTGGTCCCAGCCGAGTGGCATAATTTAGAGGCTGAGAGAGCAGCCTATGGGCAGTTATGGGTTGAAAATCTACAGAGAATTTTAAAAGGAATGAGGCAGCTGAGGCCGTACTAAAGGAGACCCAGAAGTGAGAGGATAAACTGCGACAGGATACATTTATGACGGAAATGCCAACGCAAGCAAGCACCTGGGGTTTTCCTGAACAGACACAATGACAGGACAATATACAAGAATATATTTTTATGCCTCTATAAATTAAAATTTAAATTATCTTATTGTGGTATTTTTGGCATACATCTCTGAATTTTAACACATGTGTAGATCTATGTTAACTGTCATCAAAATCAAGATATAGAATAGTTCCACAGGGCATAGTGGCATGTGCCCGTAATGCCAGCACTGTAGAAACCTGAAGCAGATGGACTGCAAGTTCAAGCCCAGCACGGGAACTTGGTGAGACCCATCTCAAAGTTAAAAGAGGAGGGGGCTGAGGATGTAGCTTAGTGCAAAGTACTGTTAAGAAAAAAGAGCTCCACCCGCCCCCCAAAAACTCTGACATTCCTTTATGCACGCTGCTTTCCTATTCCCAACCCTGATCTGTTTCCCATCATTACTTTTGTCTTTCAGAATGTGGCATAAATGGGATTGTACAGTAGTAACCTTTGAGGCCACCTTTTTTCACTAAACCTGATGCCTCCGAGATTCACCTAAGTTGCTGTTTGCATCACGAGCTCATCCCTCTTTATTGCTGAGTCCATGAATGTATCAGTTTATCCATTCTCCTATTGGGGAACATCTGAGTTGTTTCTAGTTTTTGATATTTACAAATAGAACTGCTATAAACATTCATGTTAAGTTTTTATATGGACATAGCTTTCATTTCTCTACACTAAACTCAGGAATGATACTGCTGGGTCATGTGATAAATGTTTAACTTTATATGAAACTCTCAAATGTTTTCCAGAATGGCTAGATTATACTGTCTTGCACTTCTGCTAGCAATATTAGCAAATTATGAGAGTTTTAGTTGCTCTACATCCTCACCAGCACCTGATACTGTATTTTCAATTTTAGTTATTCTAATGGAACAGAAAAATATATTCTAGTACATATCATTGTAATCTGTATCTCTCTTGTGATCACTGACACTGAACATCTTTTCATTATCTGACAACCATAGTCCCTTTTTTAGTGAAGTATCTGATACTTTGCTCTTTGTGGGGGGGGGCACGGCACTGGGGATTGAACCCAAGAATGGTCTACCACTGGATACTCCCTAGCCATTTTTTATTCCATTTTTATTTTGAGACATGGTCTCACTAAGTAGCCCAGGCTGGCCTCAAACTTGCAATCTTGCCTCAGCCTCCCAAGTAGTTGAGCTTAAAGGTGTGCACCACTGTCCCTGGCCTTTGTCCATTCTAAAAAATTACGTTGCTTCTCTTCTTTTGGTTGACATTGAGATTTTATGTTCTGGATGTAAATCCTTTCCTGAGTATCTAAATTTACAAATACTTTCTCCTAGTCTATAGTTTATTTTTTAATTCTGTTAACAGTCTTACAAAGTTCGGGTGTGGGTACACACACCTGTAATCCCAGCACTCGGGAGGCTGAGGCAGGAGGATCAACATGAGTTTGAGGCCAGCCGGGCTACAGTGAGTTCAAGGCCAGCCTGAACTACATAGGGAGACTGTGCCTCAAATCAAAAACAACACCCCCAACAGTCTTATAGGAAAAGTTTTAATTTTAACCAAGTCCTCCTATATATCATTTTTTTCTTTTATAGATCTGGCTTTTGGTGTCATGTCTAATAATTTTTTGCCTATCCTCAAGTTCCAATTATTTCCTGTTTTCTTCTAGAACTTTCATAGTTTCATGTTTTATATTTAGATTACAAACCATTTCAAGTTAATTCTGAATATAAAATATGCAGTTTAGGTTAAAGCTACTTTCTTTTTTGCATATAGATGTACAATTATTTTAGCACTATTTGTTGAAAATGCTATGCTCTTTCCAGAACTTCTTTAGCAGCTCTGCCAAGTCAGTCTATTTCTATTTTCTTTTTTTTCAATTCAGGCTGGCCTTGAACTCATGGCAAACCTTCTGCCTCACCTTCCAGAGAGCTGGGATTATAGGCGCATGCCACCACACCCAGCCTGTCACTCTATTTCCAAATGCTACATTCTGATCTATTTATCTGTATGTCTATTCCTTTCAATATCCCACTATTTTGATTACTGTTGCTTTAATCTTAAATTTGAATAATGTGATTCCTTCTCATTTTTATTTTTCAAAATTGTTTTAGCTATTCTGGTTCCTTCTTTTCTATATAAAGTTTAAAATCACTTGTCTATAGTTATAAAAACACTTAAGATTTTAATTAGTAAACGATGGCACTAGAACACCTGGTATCCGTATATAAAATACTATTCTCTTCCTCACCTCTTGAATTGAGTTTATATTCTATAAAATGCTAATGTTAAATAATCTTTCAAAACTCAGTCGACCATATATGTGTGGTTCTATTTCTAGATTCTGTTTTATTCCAATGATCTATGTCTTTCCTTACACCAACACTGCCTTGATTATGGTAGCTTTAGAAGAAGTTTTAAAATTAGGTACTAAACGTCTTCCAACACTGTTTTTGTTTTTAACTTTTCTAGGTCCTTTGTATTCCTACATAACTTTTAAATTTCAATATCCAATTCTTCATTTATAGCAAGTATACACAGACCTGAATTTTTATATATACCTTGTGTTTTCTAATCCTGCTAAATTCAAGTACAAATTCTAGGGGCTCCTAGAGATTTCTTAGTATTTTCTCTGTAGATGATCATTTCATCTACATATAAAGATTTTGCTACTACCTTGCCAATCCTATCCTAATTGTGTCATTTTATTGCCAGACTATTTTGGTCTGGGCCTATGTTTCAAAGTTTAATGAACAGATGAAGAGTAAGCATATCTGCCCTTGTTCCCCACCTTAAGGAGAAAGCATTGTATCTTCTCCATTTATATAAGGCATTCTCACTGGAAGTATGAAGTACATGTCTTTAATCTGTTGAGAAAGTTCTGTTCTAGTCTCCTGATAGCTTTTACCATGAACAGCTGTAGAATTTAGTCCAATACTTTTTCTCCAAGTAGTGACAGGATCATATGGCTTTTTTTCCTTTCCTCTGTTAAAATGATGACTTTTGGGGGGGTGGATCTTCCAATGCTGAACCAACACTGCCATCTCTATAACAAAACCACTTTCTACATACTGCCAGATCTCACTTTTAATAGTTTGTTTTGTTAAACAAATTTCTATCTATGTTCATACTTTTTTCTTCTATTATCTTTATCCAGTTTTAGGATTAGCACAATGTTGATTTCCTAAAATGAGGGGAGAAGTGTTCCTTCTTTTTTCTGCTTTAATTGTTTGATATCATTTATCAGTTAAAATGTTTATGAGCCTGCTGTTGTCATATAGGTAGGTTTTCAAGCTAGGAATATACTTTCTTTAATAGGTGCTATTCAAATTTTATATTTCCTCCAGAGTTAGTTTCATTAATTCGTCTTCCAAGGTACTTCTTAGAAGTTGTCAAATTTATTTCAAAAAAGATTTTTGTAATATGCTTTCTATATCCTTTTAAATTCTGTAAAATCTGTGGTAATGTTTCCTAGATCTTAATATTGTAATTTAAAAAATCTATAATTGATATTGTGTAACAGGAAGAAAAGGTCTAAAAGAGCAGGGGAATTGTGAGGGGTAGGGGAAGGGAAAAAAGGGAAAGGAAAAAGTATGAGAAGAGGAAAAAAAATGGAAACAAGGTCTTTGCAAATAGGGAAGGGTGAAGGGGGTGAAGGGAGGGTAAGGGAAGGGGAAAAAAATAAGAACTAAGAGACTCATGTAAAGGTACAAGATCCCAATGATGAATGTAACTGTATTTTATACCTAAAATGTACCAATAAACTTAATGGGGAAAAAAAAAGATTTTGATTAGTGTTATTATAAATCAATTAAAAAACTAACTTCTTTACTATCTTGAGTCTCCCAGCTCATGAACACAGTTAACTATTTACTCCTATCTTCTTTAATTTTTTTCATGAGATTGAGATAAACTCATTTTTTTTAGAGACCAACTACTTAGAAGATGGTCCTATAGAGAAATGGGCCAAAAGAGTATCCTAAGCTAGCCGGTTTTCACAACACAAAAGCTCTCTCAGCCATTTCAAGGGCATAGTTGCTCCTATAAATATGGCCTGTCTGTTGATTCTTTGTGTGCCCTCCGAGCTGAACCAAACCGCATCCATGTGGGACTTCTACAGCCACTAAATTCAACCATGTTTCCACACTTTCTTTTGCAAACAAGGCATATAGGTCCCAGCCCATTCACATACACACTGTTTTGGTGCTCTATGAGATCTACTACTGTTGTCCTCTTGACCTCTCTCCTCTACTTATCCCCATGTGACTCCCATACAAACAATTCTCTGCAACCTTTAAAAATTTTTGTTTTCTGTTTTCTTTTGTTGACTCAATAGTTTCCAGGAAAAGAAGTAGACAATCCTGAATTTCTGAAGCCATATTTGTACTAGGACATTTCTTTTTGGTGAAGGAGGTAAGAAAACACCTTTAATGCCATGGAGGTTGTTGGTACATCAGAAGGCACACTAGTAATAAAGAGCATGGCAGTGAAAAGATGACCAGGGTCAAAAACTAAGATGATAACTCACATGAGTCCATTTTTTTGTTACCAGAGTTCTAGCTGGTAATGACGGCCAGCTTATGTAGGATTTGTGTTGAGCCCTATAATAAAGCATGAGTTATTAACACTAAATTTGGATTCCCTCTCAGAATCCCACATGAAGAGATCAACAAGAACTGAAATAAAGAACACCGTGGGTTTATATGTGCCCATCTCTGGGCACCAGCAGTATTATGTAATCAGAAATTATTTCCCCTGCAAATTCTAGACAGAATGCTAATTTCCTTTAGTTACGACATTTACACTAAATAATTCAATTTACCTTTTACATAACAAAGCCAATTTTCAAAAACTTACATAAAATGCAAAATGCTTTACTTCACACAAAGTATTCTACTGAATTTTGATTTGGTAAGACAAAATATTTCCAAATCCCAGTCCTTTTCAGTCATACTTAATGTATCAAAAAGATTCTGCTTCTTTACCCTTTCTGAGAAGCTCTGTGTGAACATGTACCTTTTATACTCAATACCAGGTTTTTTAAGTGCATCAAGGGAGCCCAAGAGAAATCTTGTGGGAGGCAGACATGCCAAATCTCTAGGTAGTTGTTCACCTCATTGTGAATCCAGAGAGCAGGAGGGTGGTTTGCATATTTCACTGCCAATTCTATCATCCTCTCTTTTTCTAGCAGTCTGGGACTGGAGCATATTGAAAACCCACCAACCACAGAGACTCCTGGGATGAAGAAATCAATCCTAAAAGGAAAGGCAAATAAATGATTACTGCTAAAATAATTTTTAAAAAGGCAACAGGGTAAGCAAAACTGACAAAACTTTAGTCAGATGAAGAAAAAAGAAAAAATACTAAAAATTAACAGAAAAGGGGCCACTATCACCAGCCTTACAAAAACAGAGTATAAAGGAATCTTATGAATTGTATACCAAAAATTAGTTTACTTAGATAAAATGCATATATTTCTAAAAAGATATAAACTACCAACTGTGACTCAAGGAGAAACAGAAAATATCAACAGACCCCTAAGAAATTAAAGGACTGAATTAGTAATTTTAAAATTCACACAAAGAAAAGCTCAGGTCCAGATGGCATTGCTGGTGAGAACATTTAAAGAATATTTATCCTTCACAAACTCTTCCAAAAACAGAAGGAAACACTTTCCAAGTCACTGTTACCCTGATAGCAACACTAGGCAAAGATATTGCAAGGAAATTACGGGCAAATTTCCCTTCTGAATAAAGACACAAAACTCCCAGGAATACAAGGTTAGTTTAACATTTGAAAATCAATCAATATAATATCAGTAGAATACAAAATAAAACCCATATAAATATCTTACTAGATACAGAAAAGGCATTTGATAAAATACAACATTCATGATGAAAACACTCAAGAAAGTAGGAGAACTTTTTCAACACAATAGGGGCCATCTATAAAAGACCCACAACTGACATCAAACTTAATGGCAAAAGGTGGAACATTTTCTCCTTGGAACGAGGCAAGGATGTCTACTCCTACCACTTTCTACTCAACACTGAACTAGGTTCTAGCCAGTGAAAGCAAGAGAGTGAAACAAAACGCATTCCAATTACAGCAGGAAAGGCATGAGCTCATACACAGAAAATCCCAGCAATTCACTGAAAAGACATTAATAAACAAATTCAAACAAGATTGCAGAACACAAGATTAGTATACAAAACTCAGTATTTCTTCTCTGCACTAGCAGTGAAAATTCCAATTGTGAAATTTAGAAAAAAATTCATTTATAATAGCATAAAAAGAATATAATCAACAAAAACACTGTAAGACTTGTACACTGAAAATTTTTAAACAAGGTTGAAAAAAACTTAAAGAGCCAAATAAATGGAAAGATATCCCATGTTCATGAATTAGAAGAGTTAATGTTTTTAAGATGGCAATATTGTTCAAATTTACCTACTGACTCAATGCAGTACCTACCAAAACACCAGCTGGTTTCTTGTATAAACTGACAACTTGATCAAAAAGTTCATATAAAAAAAAGTTCATATGGGGGGCTGGGGATTTAGCTCAGTGGTTCCGGCGACTGCCTCGAAAGTGCAAGGTCCCAAGTTCGATCCCCAGTACCAAAAAAAAAATTTCTTATGGAAAATTGAAGGAAACCAGAATCTTGTAAAAGAATAAATTTGGAAGACTTATCTCCCGATTTCAAAAGTTACTAAAAAGCTAGAGTAATGAAGACATTGTGGTACTCGTATAATATAAGGATAGACATACAGATCAAAATAAAATATTTACGAGTCCAGAAAAATTTATGGTCAATTGATTTTTGACAAAGGTGCCAAGAAAGTTTATTCAGCAAATGGTACTAGGACAACTGAATATCTACATGCAAAATAGTGAAGTTATACCTATACTTTTTATCATATATAAAAATTAAGTAAAAATGAACATCAATTTAAATAAGGACCAAAACAATAAACTCCTAGAAGAAAACACTACACTGGCAATGATATTTTAGTTTTGATACCAAACCACAATGGTAAAAGAAAAAAAAAACCAAAACAAGCAGGGTCCAATGGCACATCCCTGTAACTGTAGCTCCCTGGGAGGCTGAAGCAGGAAGATCTTAAGTTTGAGCCCACTCTGGGCAACTTAACAAGACCCTGTCTTATGATAAAGGCTGGAGATGTAGCTCAGTGCACAGGACTTGGGTTCAATCCCTAGTAGCTAGGAAGGAAAAAGAAAAGTTAAAAGATAATTTTTTCCTTTAAGGAACTTAAATTCACAGCTTACACAAATTCCAACTCAGTAATAAAGACAACCCAAATTTTAAAATGAGCAAAGGGTTTTAATTAACATTTTTCAAAGAAGATACATAAATAGCTAATAATCACATAAAAAGATGTGCAATATCACTAGTCATTAGCGAAATGATAATCAAATCCACACACAAAAGATAAACAATAGCCAAGTGTTGGTGAGGATCTGGAGAAACAAACTCTCACAGATTTCTGATCAAATGATATAGCCACTTTAAAATGCAAGTTGGCAGTGCATGAAAATGTTAAACAGAGTTATCATATGGCCTACAATTCCACTCCTGGGTTTATATCCACGACAACTGAAAATATATGTCCACTCAAAAACATGAACACCAATGTTCATAGCAGCATTATTCATAATAGCCCCAAAGTGTAAAAAATCTAAACTGTCCATGAGATAATGGATAAATATGGTACAGCTATACAATGGAATGAAGTATGATACACGCTACAACACAGATACACCTTAGAATTACGTTAAATGAAAGAATTATTTTACTGAGATTTAATCATATGATTCCACTTATATAAAATATCCAGATTAGGCAAATCCAAAGAGACAGACAGTAGATCAATAGTTGTCTATGGGGTGGGAAGATGGGGAGAGAATAACTGATGTAAATTTATAAAAATGTCCTAAAATTTGGATTATGATGATGGCTGCACAACTCTGAGTGTAATAAAATCTAGTAAACTGGATACTTTAAGTGAATTTTACATGTAAATTAAATCTCAGTAAAATTATTCTTTAAAAAACAATGGCAATTGCCAGGTATGCTGGCGTATACCTATAATCCCAGCACTTGGAAGGCTGAAGCAGGAGGATCACCATGAATTTGAGGCCAGCCTTGGCTACATACTGAGTTCAAGTATAGTCTGAACTGCACAGTGAGATGTCTCAAATCAAACCAAACTAAACCAAACCAAACTAAACCAAACCAATAGCAACAAAATCTCTTTCACTGGTATTTGCCAAATTTAAACAGGCTAACATGACCTGAGTTCTGAAAAGCTTATTATTACTTTCTTTTCTTCTAATCACATTCTTAATACTCTAGAACTCTCCCAAGTTTGAAGCCCTCAGAAACTTTTTTGGGGGGGAAGGGGTAAGAATTTAAAGGCATTGCAACAAATCTGGACATATACCCACAAAAGAAAAATGTACTACAACTTAGCACCACAAAAAATTCTCAACCCCATATCTAGGGGATGTAAACATCCATTTTAGTTGTTTCTCTGCCACAAAGGAGCAAAAAGTATCATCTCTCCCCAGTTACCGTCTTCCATGCAGACGTCTCTGAAAAGCATAAGATGTTCTTTACTGGTTAGATCTATCACCTTAAAATATATTTTCCTTCAATCTATGGCCTTAAATATTTACTTATTATTATAGTCTTTAAACCAGCTCTGGATTGGAAGTGCTCCAGAAAAGGTCCCTAGCTTACTTCCACCCACTTTCACTGGACTTTCTCATGAATACTAACCTTTAATTTCAGAGAAGACAAAAGATTATTAATACTGTTGCTATATGCTATCAGGAAACATACAAAATCTCCACTATTTCCATGTTTGAAAAATAAATCATTGAGCTATTTTTGCTGCTTCATCTCCTGAACTACAGTGCCCTCTCCTGTGCAATGCTGATAAAGACCTCTTCCTCAAGTGAAAGGCAGGAACCCTCTTCTCTAGTATAACTCTGAAAAGCCATCTTCAGAAAAAAAACTGCCTGATACTGAACAATTCAAATTATATTAAAAGGCCCATCTGAACATATTAAGAAAAACATTAACAATATGTATTTCATAAAACTGACCAAAAACCACCTTTAAAAACACCTTTGCAGGATTTGTGCCCTGGGAGCCATGCGCGGAGGCCCCTACTGCACCTATGCAGAACTGAAGAGTCCAGGCATGCCGTCGCTGGCACATCCACAGCCAACCCTGACACTGCAGGCACCAGTCCTGTCTACAGAGGTAGCCCCAGTGCCTAGCACGCAGCAGGATGCAAACCAGGGCTAAATGACAATGCTGTATTGTACGAGTCCAAACTCTAGTTCTCTGCCTCAACACTCAGAGCTCCTCACTCATTCACCTGTGCAAACACAATGGCAAGCACCTGCCTCCATGGACAGGCACCAAGGTACAGTGGTGCCTTGGTTCATGAACGCTTTTGTTTGCAAACAATTTAGTTCACAAACAGAAGCATTTGGCAAAATTTTGTTTTCGTTTGTGAACTCTGCATTGGGAGACAAACACAACCGTGGCCACCTCTCCCACACAAACACAAACGTGGCCATCTTTTCCAAAATCAAATAAATGAAGTTAGTGAACTGAGGTACTTGTAGAAGGTACAACCACCACGGATTCCTTGTTCCTGCTTTCAATGAACCCACCTTAATGAGAGAAAAATTAGCAAGTACGTAACAATCAAAATCTATAATAAAATCTGCTTAGAGAGGAACAGGATGTAGTAGTTACTTGTACTAAGAGTGGAGGAATCAAGACTTCACAGAGCACATGTTACTTAAACCAGATTTTAAATGCTACAGAATACAACGGAAGACAGAGTCTGAACGAAGAGCCAAGGAATGCAATGCTGTCTACAAGTGATTGTGTGAAAGTGAGGGCTGCTGCATGCGGCTATGTAGGTCACACACTATCTACACACAGAGTGGCCTTGCTCCAGAATAGGCATAGTCTTATTTCCCTAATTTAGCTCTCCTAAGCTGTTCACCCTAAGAAAGCATCTTGGCCTCGCCTCCCCTCAGGGGGCAGCCTCTGCTCAGTCAGCGTGAACTAAGCACAGTGCAGTGTCGGAGGCATCACAGTGGTGAGGTCCATTCACCCACTTCACCTTGGCCCGCCACTCTTCCAACCAACAGCTTCACTGAACAGAAACTGACCAAGGAGCGAAGTATTGAACTTGTCCCCTCGGTCTCACCAGCACAGGGGAGCTGCCTGCCTGAGTGAAATTCTAATGACAACCAAATTAATAAAGTTAACATTAGGTATTGTGGTGAACACTTTAAATATCCCCCCAAATAGGAGTACTACTGCTCCCTCTTTAATGAGGTGAAAACTGAAGCCCAGAGAGATGCAGATGCTCCCCCCAGCGCAGACAGAGCCACAAGCATGTAAGCCAGGCAGTCTAGAGAACAGGAGGCCACTCGGCCTCATGCCTGGGATGGATCCCGCCCACAGCAGTGCAGCCATTGCGGGGGACAGGCAACGAGCCCACACTGGAAGAGGGCAGCTGCCTAAGGACTATTCATGCCTAAGGACTGTTAATGGCATGTTCTTCCCACCTCCAGGGAAAAGGAATTCTGACAAGGTAAAAAGCAGATCTTACCAAAGAGCTAGCTGCTAAGTGGTACATGCCCACTGATGAAAAGAACCCAAGGTTTTGGCCTGCTCACATGATGTTTTTGAGGTGGTTTCCTCTTTTGCCTTTTTCTCTGGGTTTGACTGCTAGAGTTCTAGGAACTGGCTTCCAGGTACAGGGACCAGTCCCCTTGAGAGAGCCCAGTAAGACCACTGCAGTGCAACAAGGGCCCTCTAGACCTCACTTCAGGCCTGTGTTGAAGGAGTCTACCTGTAGAGCTGAGGCCAGATCTCCAACTGGTCACAGATAGCACTCTTTTATTTACTTACAGTTGGGTCTGGAACCTCATCCTGAAAGGCTGACAGGTGTCAGAGGAAACCACCAGTCAAAAATTCAGAGATGTGGAACCATGGCCCAATGTCTTGTCCCAGAGATGAGCCTAAGAGCGTCCTCTCCTTTACAGACAGCAGCTCTCCGCTCTGATAATCCAAACTACAGGCTGCACACCAGGCACAGCCCAACTCCCTCTCTTCCTAACCCTCACCCTGCTCTCCAAAGCTGCTGATCCACACCCTAGAGCACAAAGCCATCCCAGCAACCGTACGGAACAGGTGGACACCACCAACCTAAGCAAAATGCCCATCCTGTGACTATCAAGTAAAATATTCAAAGGAACTCACAACCCCTAGAGCTACAAAATAAGCCAACAGCAAGAGTGCAATCTTTCAAAAGGGGAAGGCTCAGGGGCAAGGAATAAGTGCAGACCCACGCTAGTGGAAAAAGGGTACTGCTAACCAGCCAATCATCACCACTCCCTAGCCTGACCCCTGAAGCAAGAGCTGGACACATGCTAAAACCTGTCCTCAGCTCAGTGAAAAGACCAAGTCCATTCACCAATGGGAATAATTCTGAGAAGCACAACAGGCCCCATTTCTCTATCACCAGGGACTGATGACATTTTCCTCATCAGGTAATAGCAGTCTGTAAGTGCTAACACACTTGCAGGCACACTGTGGTGACAGCAGTATACCCAACACCAGGCTTTTCTATGCAGGAGACAGGGGTCTGAATCTTGGCAGAATTCAGAGACAATACTGTGCACAGGATACAAACACTTCCACAGAAGAGAAACGAGGGAAAACAGATCATTACAATTAAAGTTTCCACTTTTCAATGTAATAACTGCTAAACCATTTTTGAAGGGTAAATATGTTGCCCACCCCTAAAACTGCCAAAATGCATTTAATATGTATCACTGAACATGTGCAAAAATTGCAGTAAATTGCTTCACAAACACAAATTATTGCAATCAGCATCTTGTTTTCTAGTTCTAAATTCAAAGGCAAACTATTAACACAAGACTGCTAACTCTTGCTATTATCACACTTGCTATTATCACACACCCTCCTCCTAACAAAACCACATTTCCAGATGGACTGCCAAAATTAGTTGTGACTCCTAAGAAATACTACCAAGATTGACATGCCAGAAATTCATTGAGAAATGAATGCTTTATTTAAATAAAGCACACACACACCCAAACACACCTTTCCTTAGGAAATACAAGTTGCTTTATTTACAATTCAACTTGAATTGCAGCTCAGTGAGGCCATTCGGAGAAAGAGTGGGACAGCTGGGCTGTGAGCCTGTCAGCATACTGATGAGTCCTCAGAGCTGAATGGGACAGACTTACAGTGTGGGGGGGGGGGGGGGGGAGGAATGGACCTGACTGGGGAATCCTGAAAATAAATTAAGCAAAATATTCACACTCAACCCAGGCAAGGTATGAGTGATACAGGAATTCAGGTGAGAGGATGGTCAGCCCTGTCTGACATAGTGGGTTATTCTTTTCAGACTACTTTGTCTTCTCTGTATTAGACACAAAGATAACTGATTTTTAGAAATGTACAAATCCTCAGCAACACATAAGTCAAGCAGATTAGATTACTGCAGTATGTTCTATTAGCAAGCATTCCTGCAGAACATAATTACCAGTGCTGCTGGTTCCCTGGACCAGAACTAGCTGCTTTGATTGAAATTGAAAGACTCAAAGAAATTTTCATATATGGCTGAGGGAGGGGGCTGATGGGCTCAGGCCAAACAAGGAATCAGATTCTTCATGTCAGAAAAGGCCCACCGTGAATGGAAATTACCTAGAATTCTCCTCCTGGGGAACAGCTAGCCACGGAAGTTCTTTCTCGAAGAAAATATACAGTAGTCCCTTCCATTTGAGAGCACTTTCCTAAAAATACACCCTTGGAAAACAGAAAAGCCACTTACCACTGGCCAGCTTTAAAGGAAAAATCTTTATCAGCAATAAGCAAGCGGAGGCTCTTCACCAACGGTGACTCACTGGCAGCTCCACACACCTTAGCTGCTGCCACAACCTGGAGGCAGAGATGAGCTGGGGCTCAGGTTAGTGCACACAGAGCAGGAGTGATAGATGATGGCTTCCTGGGAACTAAGGTTTTTTTTAACCTATAAAGGTGTTTGAAATTGCCAAACAAGGTAAAGCACACTTTGCTTTGATTCTACCCACTAGCAGGTGAACATATTTTAATTTTGAGAAACTTGCTATACTAATCTTATTCTGCATACAAAAATCATCTCTTACAAGGATTAAGCGGCATGTACTGGAGGAGTACCCGTCATGTGCAAGGCCCTGGGTTAAGCACTCTGGAAAGAGCTCAGGGTCTGGAACCTGTAAGCAGTCCTGCCAGCATCGAGTCTCCAGGGGTGCCAGGCGGAGTGAGGCCCACTGTGTGCTTCTCGGTGTATAAGGAGCTCATTTCAGAAATTAAAAGAAAGCACTTAGAACCTCTGTTAGCAATTTTACAGAGTAACTGTGTGTTTGTTGGATCTAATAATAGAAAAATTGCATTTATCCTCATGTCTTTTACTATATTTTACAAAATATAAACAATTCACAACTTAAAACAAAAACAGCTCTTCCCTACAGATAGTCCAAGAGATACACTCTAAATGGCATTATCTGATTTCTTCCTCAGCAACTCTCAAATTCACAATGTCTCTACTTCATCCATTCTTTCATCTGTCTTGGGCTTCTCTTCCTTCCCTAAATGTGGGACATCTTCACAAGTGGGGAAGAAAGAACATGACTCTTTCCTTAACCTCCTACTTTTGTTCGGCTCCACTTGTGGCAGCAAATCAAATCCACAGCAATTGACCAAAATATGATCCTCTCATAGCTGTGGAGCTTTGTTCACAGCTCCACCAAAGGCCACAGTGGAAATGTCAAGGTCAATGAACCTCCCACCGCAATGCTAACTCATTTTGGCCCTTTTCTCCGAAGGTCTACTAGGTCTAATCAAACTATCCGTGAGAGAGTACCTTTAAAAGCCCACGAGAATAATTCTCCTGATGGATGGTGGTCTCCTTTACCTCAAAATAGCTCCTAAAATTGTCTACTTTTTCTTTCACCTGCAAAATTCCTTGCCTCTTTCTTTGTACTGGTTGCCAATCTTCTTTCTCCTCTCAGACAGCAAGTGGGATTTTTCATGCCTGCCCCTCTACCTGTACTCTTGATCCCAGTTCCGAACCCTCTGAAACACTACTCTATCAGCAACCACCAGTCCTTTCCTTCATGTACACCTTTCCTCTTTCCAGTACCTTCCTGTTTCATCAGACAAATCTCACTGGTTCATCCTAAGCAATTCAGCCACAAAATAACAGCAGCACCAGGGTACGGTTGGTAACAATATGGGTCATGTAGCCAGACCACCTGGTATTTGATCCTGGCTCTACCACTTATAAGCTGTGTGACTCTGGCCAAGTTACCTAGCCCCTCTCAGCTACAGAATGAAAATGACACCTTTAAACTCACAGGATTGTTGTGAGGACTAATTGAGATAATATACAAAAAGCACATCTTAATGCTGCTGGTCCATAGTAAATAGTGTTATGGTGTTTTCTGCATTAAAATTGTTATTGTTTTACATTGTATCTTACACTTTATTAATAATATATATGTTGCCACAGCACTAGTGTTGCTGCACAGGAGCTTGCAGAGTGGGCACGGTACAGCTCCTGGGGGACTTTACATGGATGACAAGGAACTCCACAGGGTGATGGGCTTGTACTACATATACTACATATACTTCCTATCCTGTCCATTACACTGTGAGTGCAAACCTAACTTAAATACTATCTTCAAGCTTTTTTAAAAAATCTAACCTACTATCCCTTCCTCTACTGGTGGGATTAGCTCTTCCTTAGCCTACAGAATCTTGTTTTATTTTTTTTTTGGTACTGGGGATCAAACTTGGGTCCTTATGCTTGCGCAGAAGGCGGTGAAACCACTGAGCTAAATCCCCAGCCCTTCTTATTTTCTTGATCTCTCCTTAACCACAGGTAACCTGGCTTCCACTCTCCTGAAGAACCATACTCAGGGTCTAGTCTCAGTTCCCACCCTCCCTTGCCTCTCTGAATTTGGTACTTTCCATCCTGACACACTCTCCTTGCCTGAGACAGCTACCACTGAACTCTTCACGTCCTCTCCTGCCTCTCCTACAAGTTCTCCTCCTTCCCCATTCCTTCTCCCACTTCCCCGATAGAGCTGCGTCACCCTCACCCCAGGCTCCCATCTCTACCCCCACAGCTAACAACAGCCCATGTGTTATCCTTCACTTTGCAGATGAGGAAACTGAAAGGTTTGATACTTGCTCAAGATTACCTAGATAGGGGCCCGGTGTGGTAGTGCACAACTGTAATTCCAGCATTTAGAGGGTGAGGCAGGAGGATTCACAAGTTTGAACTCAGCCTGGGCAACTTAGTGAGCCTTCATCTCTAATTAAATAAATAAACAGGCCTGGGAATGTAGCTCAGTATAAAGGCTCAGGGTTCAAACCCTAGTACCACAACCAAAAATAGAAGAAAAAAAAAAGAAAAAAGAAAAGAAACTGAGTCAGGATTCAAACCCAGGTTACCCTGGCCCCTAATTGTCTGTTGGCATTATCCCAACAGTAAACTTCTCTTATCTGCAGAATTAAATCCTCCATATTCTTGAATAATTCCTGGCACTTGAATGTGGTGCTTTGAACTGGGAAACGGAAAGCAGAGACAGAGAAGGCTGCCCTGCTTTCCTGGAGCCCTACAAATCAGCTTCTCTTCAGCAGGGTTTCAGCTGGACCCCTCCTGGAGTGAGTGAACCTGGTCAAATCCATTTTCAATTAATATACAAACACACGAACTTTGACTCTTCATAGCATTCTGTCCCTAACTGAATGCTGCCTGCCTTTTCCCTCCCTTGATCATCTTCGCCCTAGCCTAGAATTTCATCTTTTCATGTGCAGCGCTATATTGGCTTCCTTCTTGAGTCTCTCAAAGCAGCCAAGATGTGAATATTGCTGATGTTCCAACCTGAGTTATTCCCTAGCTCAAAAGCTTTCAAGGAGGCTGGGGATGTAGCTCAGAGGTAGAATGCTCATCTAGCATGCTCAAGGCCCTGGGTTCAATCCCCAGCACCACCACAAAAGTGGCGCTTAAAAAAGTGCCAAAAGGCTTATGTAACTCATATTAACTTGAGCTTCTCCTCCCCACCACCCAAACTCAGCCTAGAACATGCAGCATGCACCACGCTCTCAGCTCTACCAAGTCCTACGCAAATACTCCCCATCAATTTAATGTTCACCTTATTGTATTTAGCATGTATAAGCATAAATAACTCATCAGCATGTCTTTCCACCACATAGATCACAAGCCTCCCGAGGTCAGAGCTGCATATAAGGCATCTCTAAATCAGCTGAGATCAAACACAGGCCCAGCACATAACAAGGCTCAGGTCAGTACCTGCAGAATGAATGAAAACTCTTAAAAGTCAGTTCAAACTGGTTCCCAAAACAAACATTGGTAGAGATTCAGGAGGGTTTTGCTGCCTAAGAAAAGTGAGGAGGGTAAACACCACAGAAAATCCAAATTTGTGTTTTTAAATGCAGGAAAGGTCAGAGGGGGCAGGGAGTTCTTCAGTAGAACTGGGTTACTCAGGGAATAACTCAGGTTGGAACATCTTATTTGTCACACAGTCTAAGTACTGTATCTTATTTTAAGACAGGAAATGAGAATTATCACAGGTCTCTCCATCACTTTATTCTTCTCATTTTCTTATGTTTACCAAAAAAAAAAAAAAAAAAGCTGGGCATGGTGGCGCACACCTGTAATCCTGGCACTGGGGAGGCTGATCACAGGGAGTTCAGGCTAGCCTGGAATACACAGTGAAACCCTGTCTCAAAAAAAAGAAAGCAAGAAAAGCAAGAAAAGCAAGAAAGGAAAGGAAAGGAAAGAAAAGGAAAGAAAAGGAAAGAAAAGGAAAGAAAAGGAAAGAAAAGGAAAGAAAAGGAAAGAAAAGGAAAGAAGGAAAGAAAGAACTTTACAAGCATTCTGTATTTTCTTTCAGTTTAATAATTTGTGAAAACATAGCCAATAGCTAGATTATTTCACCGCTAACAGCTTAACTGGCACCAGCTGAATTCACTAAGAAAACTAGTTATTTATAAGCTTTGTAAATACACCCACAAGAGTCACTTGGTGGCTGGGGAATCTATATTCATAATCACTGCAGGGGAAAGAGAATTTTGGCTGAAACATTTTAGAATGGTTCACAATCAAATGCTGGACTATGTGAAATGGAATAATCATTTCTCAATATCCAGTTAATTAAATTTAATGAACAAGAGAAAGAAAGCAACACTTTCTATTAAGGCACATTTTCATTTCGATAGTGTCTATGAAAAAAACTCTTCCCAGATGCATTCATCCTAACAATCTAGATAAAACTGCTGCAACTCAAACAAGATACCTTGCACAATTCATGACTTTTAAAGACATGAGTCCCTCTCACTACGTTATTTTGTCTAATTAACACATTCACGATGGGGCCATAATTTGTATGTCTTGCTGCCAGGCGGCTTGAACCACCAGCGGAATGTGCATGACTGTCCCTTCTCCAGCAGTGGTATGACCCGTATAAGCCATCCGAGGGGAGAGTCATGCATGTATTACCAGTGGTTCAAACTGGCTAGAATGTGTTAATACAAATACCACATATTATACAAAGATTTAAAGCAAAGTGGGTTAGAAACACTAACGAAATCCTTCAAAAGCCACATAATTATTCTAAAGCTAGTTCATGTAATTAGGATCTGTGATTGTGATCTGTTATTTCTGTTCCTTTTATTGACTAAAACAAGTGATAAAACTGTATGTCTTAACATTTGTGCTTGTTCTTATACTAAATGGATCAAAAGATTTCACAACTGAAACCTCTACTAGCCACATCCTAACTTAAGACACATGGAAGGAAGTGAAACTTTCCATAAAGCAACATTTAGATTCTTCTGCTGTTCAATAAAAACACTTCCCAACTCTTCCT